GCCTAGGTCACAAGAGGACTGGGGTCAGTGAGCTTCTCTACATTATAAACAAGCTAATATAGGATTAACTGTTTGAAAGTTTAGGTAAACGTTGTCTGTCCAGAGCATGTCCACATTGTGAAAGTCATTACCATAAAGCCAGAACCCAAATATCCTATCTTCTAATACCATCAATTTGGTGTTTAGGGCTTCAAATGATGAATTTTGGGGTAGACACAGATTCAGTCTATCATACTAGGCTAAACAAAAACCTGGTTTAGATGATTTCCTTCTGTAAAACTGCCTTCAACTAGCCTTTAGTTCCCCAGCCCCAGCCCCAGAAAGTATGTGTTTTTTCTGGGTATAACAGCCTAGAAACTTACCTTACATCCTATTTTTTCTCTGTACTGGACCAGAAACCACCACATGTTTTCTCTAAAGGGCCTGATAGGGAATATTTTAGGCTTTGGTATCTATATAATCTCTATCATAGTTACCCAGTTCAGCCAGAGACAATATGTAAATGAATAGGCATGGCCAGATACCAAGATTTTTATGGACATTGAAATTTGTTTCAGGTAATTTTAATGTGCCATAAAATACGCTTCTATTTGAAATTTTTCAATCCTTTAATAGTGTAAAATCTATTCTCTGCTATCATATTAAGAAAAGAGATCACTGGTCAGGTTTGGCAGACTGAAGTTTGTGAGCTTGTGTACTAGACAGTAAGTTTCTTGAGGACAGGGACTGTGAGTTAGTCTTGTATTTCACTCCCATATCTAGAGTCACTGTCTACCATATTGGTGTGAGGTAAATATGGGTTGAGTGAATACTTGAGTCTGCCAGTCCTTTGTGCTCACATACTTTCTTGATATCCTTCCAGTTTGAATTGGACAGCACATGAATTCCTGAAGAAGTTAAGCGAAACCGAATTTGTGATCTTAGTCTAGCACCATGTTATGGCCACGTTCTCTGAAATCTTGGTTTCCTCTAAATGAAAGCCAGTTGTCTCCTATATTGAAGGCATCCCCGTCTACTTGTGCACATAGACATCTCAGAGTAAGGGAGTTTGTATGCTTCCCCTGATTGGAATGTGGCCTTAATGCAGGAAAATGCCATGCTTCAGTTAAGACTTTTAGATGCATGCTTGGGCACAAAGGAAGACCACTTCCCCACACCATGTCTGCTTTATGCCTTTAGACTTAACAGCTTAACCACAGTCATCAACATGAGGCACAGGAACTTCATTCATGAAAGGCTTGCTCCCTGCAGAGATTAATAAAACACTCAAAATCAAAGGTAAATGAAAAGATTTGTTTGAATGGTCTCTTTAAGTTAAGGGAGCAATAGACTTCTACTCCTGAAGGCTTTGTGAGCAAGATGTTAATCACAATCTTAATATACCTACAGTTTTTGATAATAAGGCAGATGGTTATCAGTCATGCTTACCTACCTATAAAATGCTGACCTGACTAATACATACAGTGGCTTAAAATGCAAAAAGGATTTGGCATCTTGCTCTCGAGGTCCTGGATAAATTTATAGCTTCATCAACCCATGTTCATTATGATTAAGCAATATATCTGAAATGAAGTTTCATTTATGAACATTTCAGGAGCCCAAGTAAACAAATTATTGAATTCTGTGAACTCATTTTTACAGAAGCATACAGATAATGAAATTGGATCACATCAGTTTGGAGACTTGGTTATAGCATTTGAGATCGCTTAGGCTTGCATTCCCACAGGAGGATTTTTTTCAGGTGAACTTCATGTATATAAATTTCATTCATCAAGAAATATGCCAAATGCTTAACAAATGAAAAGCTAATTTCTACTGGTTTGAGTAATTGAAATAAATAATAAAGGAACTTGTTTCTGGGAGAGCATACACATTTATTTGAGCAAGCATGACATAGAAAAGAGATGAATAAAATATTGGTAACATGCTAAGCAACGCATGAATACAGACAAACATGCATGCAGACACAGACACACATAGACATTTGCAGAGACACACAAAGACACAGACACAGAAACATAGACACATACAGACACAAACAAACACAGACACACAGACACACAGAAAGACACGAACACACAAAGACACACACACAGACACAAACACACAGACACAGAGTCATACAAAGAGATGCACACAGACACTCACAGACACACAAGCTGCCAAGCCTTCGTTCTTATTTCCTTGGCTTTGCACTCGTTGCAGCCCTCCTTCCTTGATTCCTGAATTGCTGTGGCCTCACGTGATACTTATCACTTCATGTTTGAAATTGTGTGCACAGCATATTACCAGAATAATTTTTCTTTACCCAGAGCTTTCATATTACTTCTCTGCCCTACAGCTTTTTTAAAAAAAATTATTTATTATTTTTATTTTATGCGTATGCACGTATTGCCTGCATGTAGAAGGCAATGCCCGCGGAGGACAGAAGAGACTGTCGAATCCCCTGGAACTGGACTTATGGACAGTTGTTAGCTGCCATGTGGGTGCTGGGATTTGAACCAGGGTCTTCTGCAAGAACAACCAGTGTTCTTAACCACTGAGCCATCTCTCCGGCCCCTGTCCTACAGTTTTATATGCACTGTTATATTTGGCGGCACCACTGCTGGTCTGCAGACAGCTTGATTCCTAGATTGTGTTTCTCTACTATGACTGTGGTCATGTTGCCCAGAACCTGGAAAGGAAATTTCATATGCTACTGCTAAGAGTGTGGATGTGTTAAGTCTTTCTTCTGCAGAGCAATGGCTTAAAGTTGTATCCACTCATACTTCATTCAGACATTTCATTTCTAGTCATCCTGGAGGGTGCATTTGAACGTGTGTGTGTGTGTGTGTGTGTGTGTGTGTGTGTGAACTGCAATTACTTTTATTGTCATTCTTTAAAAAAATGGCAACATTGGAGCCAGCAGGATGGCTCAGGGGTACAAATGTTTGCCACCAAGCCTTAGGAATTGAGTTTGATCCTCAGGTCCCACATGGTGGAAGGAAAAAACTGATTTCCTGCAAGTTGTCTTTTGACTTCCATATACATACCCTGGTATGTGCATACCCACACACTTACATACCTCCACACAAAATAAAAATAAAATGAAAAGAATGTAAAAAATAGCAACATTGATTGGTGTAAACTGATCTTTCTTTTGGTGGTCGGCATGTGTATTTTCCATACTCAGTAATCACTGAAAATAATGATACATTTGGAATTTTTTCTTTTATTGCTTATAAACATTTAAAAATACATTGCTGTACCCAAGGTGTGTCCTTTTAAATGGTCCTTTGCTTTGTTTCATTTTGTCATTCTAAGATCTCTAATAGTTCTCCCTTGTTCATCAAATGGATTCTGACTTGGTAAGCCTATAATCCAGAGTCCTGGATCAACTCAACGCTCACACGATGCAGCAACTGGACACAATCGCTTCCTTTTCAGTTTGCTTTTCTGCAGGTCTCTTGCTTCCTCACTCAGGCACCCGTCATCCACCCCCCTTTAGGCTCAAGCTCTGTTTTTCTTACAGTCTCACCTCCAGTTCTACTCCCTAGTCCCCTCTTTCTTTTGTTTCTGTTCTTCATTTTGATATCACCTTATGGTTCATCTCAGCTAAGCAGGTGTTCTGGAAACAAGCCTGGAGTCATTGGAAGAGCTGGTGTGCAGCTGTGGAATGCCTGTGATGGCTCTGTTTTTGATGAAGTGTCATTTTTACAAACACCCTTTGAAAGGAGCCATGCATACAACAATTCTTGCTGCTTTGTTCTTTTCTACTAAACTAAAGCAAGTTTTTTTTTCTTTTTCCACTACTAACTAATCATGAGAGAAGCCATGTTCTAGTTTCTTAGCCTCAAACAGCTTTGCAAGGAATACTAGGCAAAATTCCAGAACTGGGTTTACTCTAGAGCATAATATTCCACGCATCTTGTTGCTCCCTCGTTCCTTTTGTGGACGCACAGGTCTCCTGCTTACTCTGGTAACATTTCCTTCTCTCATTGTCCCCAGTCCTGTTCAGGGGGTTTAAGCCTGAGAACTTTGAAGAACAGAGAATTGCATTCCTTTATCTTTCTGTTTAGCTAGATGATGTAACTATACTGTGCTCCCCCAACAGTCACACTCAGCACCACCTTTATTTCTTCCCATTGCCCTCTAAGTATGGTACATGATTAGAAGTTTTTAAAGTTCTCATGCTAACTTAAAGTATTCTCTGTCATGAAATTTTGAAGCTATAAGTGAAAGCAGAGATAATAATAAGCCTTTCTTATTCTTATCACTCAGCTTCCAGGATCAAGATTTTCATATGTTCATCTCTTAAGACATACATTTAACATGCTAGATTGTTGCATTACCTCTTATAATAGCTGCCATTTTTTTTTCTTGAGCTCTACTGTTAAACATGTGCTGAATAGTTCTGTGGCATTCAGTTCCAACATTTAATTCTGCTTTGCTAAAGATAGAGGCATGTAAGAGTAAAAATTAAAAGTCAATAAACATATCTAATAAAACTTCTACATAGTTTGGACACAGGTTACAATTTGTTAACCAAGCTCTGTGTAGAAATGATTGTGCAATTATTATTGCTGTTATATCATATTCCCCTCTATCCTTGAAATTAATTATTTTGCCTGTACTTTTTCTGATTAAAATATTGTCATGGGAGTCATTAATATTCTAGGTAGTTACCAGGGAGAGTTCTTTCTCTGAGCCTCTTTCTCTCTGTGCTGTTTCCTTCATACATAGTCTCTACTATGTACTCTCATCCCCTCAGAGACATAAGGGCACCAGGAATCATCTTAGTAGACAATTATACTGGGATGGAAAGATATGAACTACATATTGCCTATAAGCATATCTGACATTTTGATGAAAGGGACAGCTGAGTGATATAAGCTTAAATGTGTGTAAAAGGTTAATCATTTTCATACGGCTCATGAATAACTCATCTCTTTCACAGGATGTTCACAGGTGAAATTCTCTAATTAATTTTTCCCTGATTGCTTTGTTTTCCCTTTTTCCAGCTCTTGTAAATGTGAAACTCTGGGCCATTGACCGACAATGTTTTCAAACAATAATGATGAGGACAGGACTCATCAAGCATACTGAGTATATGGAATTTTTAAAAAGGTAGGACACTTCCTTTTCTCCTTTGAAAGCTTTTATTGTCATTTTGAAATGCAAGCTTTTTGTGCCTTTATCTCAGTCTTAATAGCCTACTAATTTGTGGAAAGGCCAGACTTTGGGTGGCCTTCATTAGATTTCTGATGCCAATTTGTGGTTAAGTCAGAGCTTCCAAATTTTATCACATACAGTTCTCTTGGAGAAATGTAGTGATACAAAGAATTTGAGCAGAAAAGGATATTTAGTTATTCTGGCTATTTATTATTAGTTAATATGCTTGTGATGCCTGTTATAAACAGACCCCAGTGTCAGGCTGAGCCATCTTGGGTGAGTTTCCATAGGAACAGTCAGACAAGTAAGGAGGGAAAGTTCTGTGAGGCATCTTAATCTTTAATCCTGAGCTTAATTTTCCAAATTCAATACATTTTATGCTGTACCTCCTTTCTTTGAATCATATATTATCATAGTAACTCAATATAAAATGAGAATTGGAATAGAAAAACTGCTTTTCATTTCTTAGGAAAACACTGATGATAATCACTTGTCTTTAAACTTTCAGAGAACTATATATCATTTTATCATTGAAAAGAACATTGACAATTCTAATGACTTTAAAAGTATTTTGTGTTGGATGTTTTGGAGGCTGCTTAGTGGGTGAGAGTGCTTGCTGCATAAGCTTGATGTCATACAAAATGCTGGAATACAAATGAAGGAATGCCAGTATGTGGGGGCGGGGTAGAGATGGCAGTATTTCTGGGGTTTCCTGGCTGTCAGACTAACCAAGAAGGTGAGCCACAGGCCAGTGAGAGAGCCTGGTTCAAGGGAATAAAGTGGAGGTAGAATAGGACACCCAGTGTCCTCTGGTCACGGCTGGCCTGCATCCACATTCCAACACAGACATAAGCATTTACTGTACATACGTATACCATACATATGCATACCACACAGACACACAAACATACACATGCATACACCACGCACATACAATGGACAAATATACACACATACGACCCACATATATACACACATAAACATACACACACCATACACCACACAAATATACACACACACGTCACACACACAGAGGCACACACCCACAGAGACCCACACACATACATACACACAGTGACACTTATATACATACACACATACATTACATACATATACAAATACACATACTACACACTCCCCATATGCACATATCCATATACATGCACATACACATGCACATAAATATACTAATTTATATACATATGTACATCACACACACACGTACACACATCTATATATGCGCATACACACATGACTACAGATGTATACACATATGTACCAAGCACATATAAATACACATGTACATATATATACATATACATACACATACACACAGTTTTTACACACAGTTTATATAAGTTTTCATTTGAAAACAAAAACATTATTCAATAGCAATGCATAGATTATGAGAAACAGGCAATGTATCACTTCATTTTTGAGAGCTAGAATATTAAACTTTTTCCTCTATTTTCATTTTTTTGTGAAGAAGTGGTTAAAATGGAGCTAACAAGTCAAATTCTTTTTTGCTTCAGTGATATACCTTAGCAGATATCTATTGAGGTTTCTTAAAATGAAATTTTAATGTCCCTTACTTGGGTATTTCTGCTAATTAATTTTGTTTCTGCTTCATCTATGCATTGC